CATTCAGATTGTTTCTGCCCTTTTGTTACCATAGAGACGGTCAGTCTGGGCACAGGCTGCCTGGCCACTTGGGAGGGGCAGGCCACGCTGGGGCTGCGCAGAGGAGGCCAGGGCCCTGGGATCCAGGGGCGTCCTGCGGGCTCCAACCGGGAAGCCGACTGAAGGCTGTGGCATCTCCAGGCTTCCTGGCAGCAGATGGGAGGGAGAGGGTCTGGTGCGGATCATAGAGAAGCTGAAACACCCTGCCACCCCCCCCACCCCCCGCCCCTCACTGTGCTGTGTGGATTAAGGGGGGCAGGGTTCAAGCCCATATGATCCTGCTTCTCGTTGCTGGGAGGTGCCAGAAGCCTCTGTGCTGAGAATTGCCCTGGGTGAGGATGCCTGCCTGTGCTACTGAAATCTAACTTCTTAAAAAACAATGAAGTAACCCAAGAATACCACTCCTAGGATTGGAAACAGGTCCCCAAACAAAAACTTGTTCACAAATGCTCATAGCAGCACTATTCACAGTCGCCAAGAAGTGGAGACAATCCAAATGTCCATCCGTGGATCAATGATACACAAAATGTGGTACAGCCACACAGCAATACAACGCAACCACAAAAGCAAATGAAGCACTGATTCATGCTACAACATGGAGGAACCTTGAGAACATGATGTGAGTGAAAGAAGCCAGTCACCAAAGACCACATGTTGTAGGATTCCATTCATATGAAATGTCCAACAGTGGCAAATCCACAGAGACAGAAAAGGGATTAGTGGTTGCCAGGGCCTGGGGGAGGGGGAACGGGGAGTGACTGCTTAATGGGTCCAAGGTTTGCTTTGGGTGAGATAGAAACGTTCTGGAAATAGACAGTGGTGATGGTTGCACAACATTGTGAATATGCTGAATGCCACTGAATTGCACACCTAAAGTGGTTAAAATGGTAAGTTTCCTGTGTGTTTTGCTACAATAATAATAATAATAATAAAACTTCTTATAGAAAATGTTTTGCATTTCCTCACCCTTCCTGGCAGAATTTTCAGGAACCAACTGAATTCATGAAGGGAAAGATAGGTGAATTGTTAAAGAAAAAAATATTCTAACTGTTAAAAACTAGTACAATGACACTTGCTAATGCATGGTAAGGGGGGAGGGGGGGCATGGCGGTAGGCATGGGCACCACTGCCATGGGGTTTTGCTGTAGAGAGAGATTGGGCTCAACTCCAAATACAGCATGAGCAAATGGGAATCTGTAGCCTAGGAACAGGTGGGGCAGTGGATAGAAAATTACTGAGAGGGAACATCATGCGTAAGAGAGGATTCTGGGTAAACCGGCCTAGCAGGCCAGAGTGATCAGACTTTACCCCAGGGATGGTGGAAGATGAGTGCTGGAGGCTAAGACCAACAAGTAGTTAGCATAATTATGCGAGAAGTCCGCTGGAAGGCTAATGGACTTTGATATTCAGCAAGGGCTGAAAATCAGCATAATATTGCCCTGCTTTTGGCTGAATGGCTGAAGGCAATCCCCTAACCTGATAATCCTTTATTGTTTACCAAACTTTACCATTGATATGCCTGTTTGCTTTGCTAAAAGGCAAATGCATATTCTAGTAAATAAAAGCTAATGGGTCC